GAGACATTTTGCTCAATATCACATACTTTCAAGAGAAAACAGGACATACTGCAATCACAATTTATGATTTCTTCATGTGCTGTCATCCACAGGTATTGGCTAGTTCAACATGATTTCCACAGGGAGATCCATGTAATAGATATTGACTCAGGTTAGATTAGCCAAGCTAATATAAGATACATACTCATGGCTCAAGTTCTTGGGCCCCTAACACCCATGTAGGAGACCCAGATGGTTTTCTAGGGTGATAACTTCAGGCTGGACTAGCTCAGGCCACTGGGGTCATTGGGGGAATAGACACAAGGATGAAAGATCTTTGTGTCTCTCCATTTCTATCACTCTGCATTTCAAATAAATACATAATTTTAAAAAAGAGCTATTTACTTTTACTGGAAAGTCATATCTACAGAGAGAAGGAGAGAGAAAAATCTTCCATTCACAGCCGGAGCTGAGCCAACCCGAAGCCAGGAGTCAGGAGCCTCCTTCAGGTCTCCCACATGGATACAGGGTTCCAAGGTTTTGAGCCATCCTCTACTGTTTTCCTAGGACACAAGGAGGGAGCAAGATGGGAAGTGGAGCAGCCAGGATACGAACTGGTACCCATATGAGATCTTGGCACATGCAAGGTGAGGACTTTAGTCACTAGGCTATGGTGTGGGGACCATAAATTTTTAAAAGAAAGAAAAAATGGCACACACTTTGCATTTGGTGTTTATGGGACACCAACAACCCATTTTTCTGTCCAGACTGCACTGCTTCCAATTCAGCTTCCTGCTAATGAGATTGAGGTGGCAGCAAAAGATGGTCTAAGAACGTGGGCTCCTGTCACCCCTATGGAGGAAATGGATGAAGTTCCTGGTTCCTGGCTATAGTCTGGCCCATCCCAGGCTTTCGTGGCTATTCGGAGAGTGAACTAGTAGATGGAAGACCCTTCTCTCTGTCTCTGTCTCCCTTTCTCTCTGAGATTCGACCTTACGAATGAGCAAATAAACCTTCACACACATACTGCAACATCAGATACATGCTAAAAGAATTATAATAGCTTTAACCTATTGGATACCTTCATGTTATTGGGATGGAATTACGTTGTGAGGCAGACACATAGCCCTTGCAGAAAATGACAGGTTGAAGGATCCTATCAGATGTTCTTTGGTGCACATGATGAACAGCTCCTGAGAGGAGGGCAAGTAATGGCTCCTCCGCAGTAGTTATTCCCAGGTAGACCTCCATTTCCAGCCTTGGACATGAGTCCTTGGCTGTCACTCTGCAATCCAGATAATCCTACTTCTGGCCTCAACTCTCCCTTTGCTGGACAATTTGATCTGCAGTAATTTAACTCCAAGTCAAGTCTGAAAGAAAGAATAGCTTAGGGCATGTTCACTTCATGGTAGCTTACCAAGAAAACAGAAAATGAATATGAAAATCTCCAAAGGCATGGACTGGGAACAGCCGGCACATGGTTCACACCAAGGCTTGTGAAACCATTTAATCTGTCCCTGCCACACCAACAACAGGCAGGACTAAAAATCTGATAGATCTATTGTAGAGCAATTTTTAAGCTGACAATTTTGTATGGCCCCATAAATGATGTTACAAATATCCAAACTGTCCTTGGTAGAAAAAAAGCTTCTCTATTCCTGTATTAAGGACTTAACAAAGTACATGGGTTTCCTAAATGTATAATTTCACGTTAATAATCTGAGCTGAATGTTTGTAATCTACTTAAGTAACAGACTTGAGAGGAAATATACTTTACTTTCTAAAAGTGTGCTTATCCAACAGCCTCTTGCTCTAAAACTCCTTAATTAAGAAGTAAAATTTGGTTAAGTTTGTGTGATTCATTCAGAAATCTCCAAGAGAGATAATTTAGTAACTTAGCATGGTATCATATCAGGTGAAATAAGCTCCTCTTCTACACTATTTAAAGAAAAGCAGGGCCTTGTAAAGTAGCACAGCAGGTTAAGCCACTTCTTACAATGCTGATATCCCACGTTGCAGCACCAGCTGGAGTCCTGGCTGCTCTGCTTCTGACGCATCTTCCCACTACAGCACCTGGGGAGGTACTGGAAGGAGGCTCACATGCTTGGGCTCCAGCCACCATTGTGGGAAACCCAGATGGAATTCCTGCCCATGGCTTCAGCCTGGAGCAGCCTGGCTGTCGTGGCATTTAACTGAGCCAGAGAATGGAGGATTCTCTCTTCCCCTCTCTCTTTCTTGTTTGAACAAATAAATCTTTTAAAAAGAAAAAGAAAGAAAAGCAATAACCACTGTTTGTGAGAACTTCACTGGTCATTTACCAGGACAGGAAGCCATTGCAAGGGGTGGTTACTGTGAGGAAAACCCAGCTCATTCGTGGTACCTAGGATGGGCCCTCTGGGGATACAGAGCCCAAGGATGTTCAAGGCTCCTCCCCCTATAATCAATGCACATCTCCCCTCGCAGTTCCAGTTATCTCTGAGTGCTGATGAGACCTAACACAATGGAAATGCTACATGTAACCATTTGCTATACTGTATTGTTTTGGAAATGACAAGGGGGGAGGTCGTACAAGTCCAATTCAAGTGCACTTTTTTTAAAAACAATATTTTCATGGTTAGTCACAGTTGAATAATTATAGTTATGTGACTAGCTAACAGCTGAACAGAATTGATTCAAAAGTTCATCTAGTCATAGTTTAATTTGTGAATGGGGAACCCACACATATCCAGGGTCAACTGTATGATTTTTTTTTCTCAGCACAATACTAGCAGTTTTTTGAATGATCTATTCCACATCTTTACCGATTTGAGTTAAACTGTAAAATCCTGAATCATCTGAACTGCAGGAAAACAAGAACCTGTTCTACCACAGAAAAGGTAGTCATATGTATTACAATGTGGAGGCCCATCTTAGACACATATCATGGGAACACAGCAAACGGCAGCTCCTCCCACAAGGATGTTTTCTTCTAAAACCCAGCTCACCATCTTGAATGCCACCCTCATTACAGAACATCACACAGTAATTCAGTGCTCCAAAGCCAAAAGAACACGATAAAAGGTACAGAACCAGAACTGGGGATATTTTAGGAGATATAATCACCTCTCTACAGCTCTGCAACTGCTTCAAGACCTGAAGGCAGTTCAGTGTCCTGGAAGCTGCTGGGTGTGGCCGAGGCCCAGATCCCCAGGCGCAACAGTGGGGCGGAGAGGTCATCTAAAGGCTGGTCGCATGTCTACTGCACATTCCAAACTGCTAAGACAGTGCACTCGAAATGTTACCGACTGCATACCAGGGTCCATGTGGCTCTCTCTGCACCTCCCCCAAAAAGTAGCCTCAGAAGGGACTATGCCTGCCCCAATGAGGCCTGGCTTCACATCCCCTGCCCAGGCTGAACCCACTTTCTCTCAACACCCCAAATCCATTGTATTTCTCCTTAAACAAAGGTCTTTTTCATTTGCACTAGCCACCTCTTTGCCTCCTTCAAACCCTCAAATCCTAAACACAGTGCCATGCAGGTTCATGGCATGAGTGACTACTGAGTGGGGAGGGAAGAGCATGTGCTGAGGCCCTGGGGTGCAGGGTCTGTTTAAGGATACCTGCCCCATGACAGTGGGGGTGAGCAAAAGTTTCCTGTCCTCTGACCATTCCCGGCTACTTAGTTTGCAGGCGGGTACTGTCTGGGGCAGTAGCAAATAAAGAGACTGCATTTCCCCTGGGGCACTCAGAGTCTTGATTCCTGCGTGGCTCTTGCACTCTGTGGCTGACTGCCTCAGCACACGCTGTAAGATCACAATGCAGAAGAATGACACTACTACAAGTCAGCCCCAGCAGCTCCAGCAGCCCCGCAAAGGGCTCAGCCAAGGACCGCTGCCCCATGAAATACACAGCTGGGCACAGGGAGGGACTCAGGAACAGCCATGTGAAAGGCCAAAGGCTCAAAAAACACTGACTAGTGACACCTAGGGGCAAGGGGCAGGGCTGGGGTGGGGGAGGTTCAATTTCCAAAGCTAAGCTGGCAAATTCAATCACTTTTAGTCAGCTCTGACACGAATTAAGTTGCCAAGAGCAGTAAAAGGCAGTCCCACGGCATGCGTTGCGTTTCTGAACTGCACTTGAACTGTCCGCAACAGTTTATGTAACTTTGTAAAGAACAAAAGCACACATTTGTTCGGAACTCGCCTTCCAACGCAGGCAGGAAGTTCTTTCCCAGTCAAGGCGGTGCACCTGGACAGCTTTCAAGGCCTTGCAAAGCCCCTGCTTCCGGGCTGAGCCCCAGTACTCCCAGTTTAAGGCCGTCTTCTTCCTACCCCTCCTCAGCAGTTCCTAACAGCTTCACTTCGCAAATGCCAACTTTCCCCGGACATCAAATGGAAAACAGCCTGTCACCTGAGCCAGCTTCGAGGCCCAGGGCTGGGGGAGCAGCTTTAAGAGGTGGAAGCCAGGTGTCGATAGAAATAACAACAGCAGCGCAAGCTGGGTGAAGAGCAGGGGGAGAACGCGAAACGCCAAGGCAGGTGCATCACCTGGACCCCAGGACGCCTCCTTCCTGCCCGCTCCCACCCCTGTCCCGAACCTGTCAGAAGGTAGAAGCCTAAGAGAACAAGAGAGCTTGCCTTGCAACGTCAAACCTCCCCCACCGGAAAAGCGGCCTCACGCATGCGCAATGCCGCCTTGGCCACTGATCCCCAAAATAAATGGGGCTGTAACTTGACCACCTCTCGCCCAGCCGGGCCAGACGACTTGCGCACGCGCAGCCTCCGCCTTGAGGCCTAGGTAGGGACGCAGTCCGAGCCGCAAGCCCAACCCCCGCCAGCGGCCTTGCGCAAGCGCAGCGACGCCCGGGTCCGCGCCCGGGACGCGGCTGTCGCCCCCGGGGCCCTGCTCAGTCACCGGGGCGGCCGGGCGGCGGGGGCGGGAAGCGGTGGCGCGCCCAGCCCCGCAGCCAGGGGTCCCTGAAAGCTGCCCGCTTCAGGCCGGGCGCCCCGCCTCGGCCTCACACGCCGCGCCCACCCCCTCACCTCAGCGCAGGCCCACGCCGCGTCCGCTCCGCTTCCTGGGTCGCGGTTACTGCTCCGTCGGGGGCCCGGCGCCGCGACGAGTTGGCGCCTCCCCCTGAAGCGGCCAGGCCGTGGCGGGAAGCGATCGGGTGCCCGGCCGGCAGGGGAGGGTAGGCGAGCGGCGAACGCGGGGAGGGGGCCGGCGACGGCGCCTCGCCCCTCCTCTCCTCCCAGGGCTGCCCACCACCGCCTCCGCCGCTCCCTGCCCTTCCCCAGTGATTCCCGGTCCTCCCGGCGGACCCCCCGAGACTGGACACTCCGTCGGTCACTGCGGAAGTTGGCTTGTGGAACACCTCCTCTTTCTCCGGAGTTTTGATCACCCAGATCTTGGCAGCTGATCAGTGCCTGAACTAGAGGATGAGACGGGACGCACACAATGTGGGCCACCTTTTCCACCATCCCTTTCTCCTCCCCCCACAGTGATACCCCCTCCACCTGGGAGCTTAGGTCCCTTTACACGGTCCCCGCAGCCCCGTTTTCACCTTATTACTGTGGAGCTGCAGTCCTGTACTCCAGTTCTCTGTCTTACAGATCCTGAAGTAGTGATTGGTGTTGGGCAGGTCTCCTGAGTTCCCTTGGGGGTCAAGGTCTTAAGAAACAGTCACCCTTTCCCTTGATTAATTTACAGGAATTTGTTACTCCACACTTAGGTTGGTCTTAGATTTTTGTAAAATGCATCACAACTTTTTAGTGTGCAATAATGTGTCTCATTGTAAGTCCACGTGAGTGAATTTGGGTAAAATGTTCAATAAGTGAAAGTTACCGGCTCTTAAAAGTAGTAAGTGACAGTATATAATACTGTCTGTGAAATGATGTTCTGGGTCAGTGTTCCAATGGTTTGCGGGATAGAATAGCTGAAATTCCAGCCCATAGGGACGTGCTTATTTTTGGTTTTGTCTGGCCTTGCTCGTTTCAGTTGGCAGAATGTCCGTGATCACAGCACAGTCCACTGAGCTTTAGAAAATACGCGTTTATCGGACTTTATAGGACCTTAACAAAATCATACAAGTGTGGCATTGTGAAAGATAGACTTTACCCTTGAACAATGAGTTACCCTTTAAAAGGACAGCTGGGAATTTTGATTTTGAAACTATAATCAGGAAGAAAAAGGACAAGTATCCAGGAGAAGAGGTAACCCTCCCAAAGTGATCAGATGAGGTGAGGTTAGCAGTTAGCACTGCCTGTGTCTTCGCGAGTTTTTTTCTTTTCGTTAAAGATTTGCTTGAAAGCCAGAGACAGAGATTGCCCAATCTGCTGGTTCACTTCCCAAATGCCCACAGCAGCCTGAGTCGGGCCAGACTGTAGCCAGGAGCCTGCCGCTCCATCTGGGGCTTCCATGTCGAATGGCTGTCTTGCTAGGTGTGCATTTGCAAGAAGCTGGACTCGGATTGGAGCTGCTGCCAGACCGCAGAGGCTCAGATACAGAATGTGGCCAGCCCCAGTGGAATCTTAACTGCTGTGCCGAATGCCTGCCACTCCACTCCCCACCCCCCCCACCCCGCAATGCGTAATATGTTTCACTAGATTGTGAAACTTTTGAGCAGACAGATCATTGTACATTCCGTATTTAATGTTTATTTCTCTATGATCCTGTGGAATTGCTAATATGTGTGCAATCGAATTATACCAACTGCATTCTTTCAGTTCTCCAAACATGTTTTCCGCATTCCTCTTGGAGAGACTTAAACATGGGGCCAGCAACGCAGTGGCAGGTTAAACCACTGCCTGCAGCACCGGCATCCCATATAGATACCTGTTTGAGTCCCTGTTGTACTAATTCTGATCTAGCTCCTTGTGAATATGCCTGGAAAAGTGGTGCAGGATGACCCACGTGCTTGGGCCCCTACACCCAAGAGAAAGATCTGGAAATAGCTCTTAGCTGCTGGCTTTAAGCCTGGCCCAGCCCTGGCTTTAGTGGCCTTCTGGAAAGTGAACCAGCAAATGGAGGAACTCTCTAACTCTGTGCCACCTTTCTAATAAATCTTTAAAAAAACAAAAAACAGAGACCCGATCATGAATATAAATCCATATTTTGCTCTAACTTGTATGATTTGTGCTGGTTCTCCTGGACCTTTTGGGTAAGATGATTGCCATGTGATTCCCCAAGAGCCTTAAAATGAAGGGGAAAAAAAACCCCTCAGTTTATCAGAAAGTTATCTACACCTACATGCTTGTAACAGAATATCCTCGATAGCCAAGATATAGAAACAACTTAAGTGTCCATCAACAACAGATGAAGAGATGAAAAACACAACACAGTGGAATGCTATTCAACTATCAAAGAGATGAAGCCCTGGCCTTTGCAACAGCTTGGAGGAACCTGGGAGACACTGTGCCAAACGAAATAAGCCAGTTGATCTCTCAGAGTTTAAACTGGTTACCCGAGGTTGTGAGTGGCTTGGAGAGGATGGGGAGGTGTTGGCGAGAGGATACGTAATTACAGTTACAAGAGTAAGTTCGAAGTGTCTATTGTATAGCAAAGTAACCCTGGTTAATGTATTCCTAAAAATGTAAATAGAATAAATGGTAGGCTCCTGTGATGGCCCAGCCGGTTAAGCAGCAGCCTGCAATGCCATCATCCCATACAACTGCCAGTTTGAGTCTCAGCTGCTCCACCCAAGCCAGCTCCCTACTAACATGTCTGGGAGAGCAGTACAAGATGACCCAAACGCTTGGATTCCTGCTTCCAACATGAGAGACCTAGTTGGAGTTCCAGGCTCCTGGCTTCAGCCTGGCCTGGCCCTAGGCATTGCAATCAGTTGGAAACTGAGCCTTCACATGGGGGTCTCTTTTCTCTCTCTCTTTTGCTCTCTATTTCTCTCTTTGTGTGTAACTCTGCCTTTTAAATATATTTTTTTTAATTGTAATGTGATGTCACTGCAAAATTAACTCATGTGAGATAATATATTTGCTAAATAGCTGGATTTAACCATTGTGTAAGAACATACAATGTTTTCTGTCAATTTCAAGTAAAATCTGAAGCCAAGTCCATGCTAACTTCTTCAGCCAGAGCTAAGGGCAGTCCTGCTTTCTACGCAGGTCCTTCAAAAACTTCTTAGGGGAAAAGGAGTTAAAAGATAAGTTTACTTTGATGCAAAAAAAAAAAAAAAAAGCTTTAAATCCATGTATAGGTTTTGCACAATGTATCTAAAGGGAACTTTTTGACAACATCTCATATGCACAGGTTTCTGAGCTAATTTTACAGCAAGCAAGCTGTGATGTCTTCCCCCACGAGCCTTACCAGCGGCAGCGGAGGTTGGGATTGCCTCTGAGCCAGAGAAGATGTAAATAAATGCTCTTTTGTCACACAAAAAAAGAAAAAAGAAGAGTAAAGAAAAAAGGTTTTAGATCTCCTTTTTCATCTATATTTACTTGAGAGACAGAAAAACATACAGAGAGGGCACCCGTTGCCTCTGAGGATAGGAGTGCACGGGCAGCAATCCTGAAGCCCAGAATTCTGTCCAGGTCTCTCTTGTGGATGAGAGGAACTAGCCACCCAGGCCATCAACTGCTGCCGCCCAGGGTCTACACTGGCCTCCTGGAAGCTGGAAGCAGGAGCCTGGAACCGGGAGCTGGACCCAGGTGTCAAAGCCACGTATTCTGATTTTGGTCTGGGGCATCTTATCCTGTGGCTTAACTTCTCGGCTAGATCTCCACCCTAAGATCATTGTTTATACCACGATCTACCTTCTCTTTCCTCTTTTCACTGTGACACAGCAGCATGACAGTGAAAAATCCAGTCACCCAATTCTTTTTTTTTGTTTTGTTCAGGGATGTGTTTTTCCTCTTTTCACCAGAGGCTACCCCTGCATTATTCATCATCCAACAGGTTTCGAGTTGTTAAACATGAATGGTTTGCTAATGCAAACACTCAAGATCTCTTATTACTTTCCCCTTCATCCAGACTACTGTGTAAACCTTAACAGATTTAAGTTATAGTGCAGAGAGCAAAATGATAGAAGTTCACTTTCATATGGAATTTAACATATAACCAATCTGTATACTAATTATTTTCTGTAGGAATGATACGCCTTTCCAAACTGGTATTTTTTGAAGTTTTTAGATATTAAAAAAATTGTTAAACATTCTTAAATCCTTAGTCCTGAAATTTTCCCCAGAAGATGAAGCTAATTTGTAACCATTGACTTTCTCCTGATTTATTGGACACATGTTGCCTATGGGGGGCTTAATGTTAAGATATAATGACTATAGAGGCCTACTGCGGTAGCCTAGCAGCTAAAGTCCTCACCTTGCAGGAGTCAGGATCCCATATGGCCACCAGTTCTAATCCCAGTGGCCCCACTTCCATCCAGCTCCCTGTTCGTGGCTTGGGAAAGCCATCAAGGACCGCCCAAAGTCTTGGGACCCTGTACCCATGTGGGAGACCCAGAAAAAGCTCCAGGATCCTGGCTTTGGATCGGCACAGCTCCAGCTGTTGCGCTCACTTGGGGAGTAAATCAACGGACAGAAGATCTTCCTCTCTGTCTCTCCTCCTCTCTGTATATCTGACTTTCCAATAAAAATAAATCTTAAAAAGAAAAAAATCTATAATGACTACAGGACTAACTGGTACAAAGGCTTCAACAGGTGTCATCCCCAAAATACAGGATGCAAAAACTTCCTGTAACAAATCGGATCCTTCAAGTAGTTATAGGAAGAATTGTAATAGTTCTGTTTTCATCTAAAAAACTGCACCTTATTCATATTTAAAGTACACGTCAGAATAGTGCATTTACACTTGATTTTAACCAAAAGGCCGAGAAATGATAGAACAGTGCATTTAATTTTTAAAAATTTAGTTGAAAAATAGAGAGCAGAGAGGGTGAGATCCCATTCACTGGGTCTTTCCCCAAATGCCCCAGGCTGGACCAGGCTGGACCAGGCTGGACCAGGCTGAAGCTAGGTGCTGGGAACTTAATCCGCATGTCCTGCGTGGGAGGCAGGCGCCCAACTTCTGGAACTATCCCCAGCTTCTTCCAAGGGGTACGTTAATAGGAAGCTGGAAAGGAGAGCAGGGCCAGGACTTGAACCCAACTCTCCAAGCTAGGAGAAGGGCATCCCACAGCATCTGACTACTACACCAAGCATCTACCTGTTCCTTACATTTTGTATTAACCTTACATCAGGTGTATAATTTTAAAATACTTCTACC